TTTGGTTCATCGTCAAGGCTGGCGAGGAAAAGCCAACCTGACCTGCTCCCGCGCAGGTGAGGGCCGAGGAGAGGCGGTTCCTGGCGGGGTGGAAGAGCGCCTTGGGAAGGAGGGAGGAAGGGAGGGAAGGCCACCGAGGCGCCCAAAGGCCGCTGCCAGCCCCCTCCAGACCCAGAGGAGGAGAGGAAAGAGAGGGGAGAGAGGAAGAGGAGGAGGCGGCGGCGATGATGATGCTTTTCCCTCTTATTCTGGGATGGAGGATTTTGCCGGCCTGAATCGGACGCCCAGTCCTGCCCAAGGGGGCCAAAGAGCGCCTGCATGCGCCCCCCCCCTCGGCCCTTGGTTCGAACCCATTCCTCGGTGTCCCCCCCCCTTTCCCCCTTTATTTGCCATTAACAAGCCCCCGTCTTCTCGCTTTTAGACCTCCGGGATGCCCAGAGAGGCGGATCGCCCGGCACAGATTAGTCAGTTGGGTCTCCAAATCCTGCTTAGCGCTCATCCTCTCCGGATACCCGGCGGCGGCGGCGGCGGGATCCGTTCAGGGCCGGGAGATCCCGCAGCTCTGGCGCGGCTGGACCAGCTGTTGCCTTCCCCTCCATCCCTCCCTCCCCTTCCTGGCCGCCCGGGTTTTTTTTTGGGGGGGGGGAAGCAGGCTGTGTGTGGCCCTCATCGCCATTCGTCTCGCTCCTGGGCTGGACAGGCCGGAATTCCACAGGTGCTGCTTCCCCCACCCCCCACCCCCGGCTGAGCACAAAGGAGAATCGCACAAAGAGGCGAGCTTCATCAGCGGCATGTGCAAAATAAGGTGCTTTTGCACAGTGTTTTTGCAAAAAAAGAGGAAAGAAAAGAACACAGGCAGCCCAAAGGCAGGATTCCCGCAGACCACGCCTTCCCTTCTTCTGGGGTCAGCATGCCACACAAAGGGGTGTGTGTGTGTGTGTGTGTTCCCCCTTTGTCTTGTGCCCGGGGGGGGTATTGCTGGGCGAGGGAAGGGAGCGTGAGCAGGACAAAAGGAATATGAAAGATGCCGAAAGTTGAAAGACAGGAATAGAAATATACTCGCTTCTTCTCCTCGTTTTCTAAGGCATCTGTGTCTGTGTCTGTGTGTGAAAGGAAGCCCCCCCCCTTTGTCTTGTGCCGGGGGGGGCGGGTATTGCTGGGAGAGGGAAGGGAGCGTGTGCAGGACAAAAGGAACGCGAAGGATGCCGAAGGTTGAAAGACAGGAATAGAAATGTACTCGCTTCTTCTCCTCGTTTTCTAAGGCAATTGGGGAAAAGGCTCTCCTTTGAGCTCGGAGGAGATTCGAACTAGGGAATCTCCGCGGCCCTCCCTCCTCGGACCCCGGTCGCCATCTTGGAAGGGGGACGGGAAGCCCTTGCGGAGCATGGTTTGCCCATCCTTAAGATGGCGAGAAGATCCACCTGTCGTTCTGGAAAAGCCGATTCGCCCTTTTCGCGACGGGACTCTTCGAGGTCTTCTAGTTTATTTGGGAAAACCTGCCCCGAGTCTCTCCGTGAAGGGGGTTCGGCAGGTGCGGGAGCCCCAGGCCTGACTTTGAACGGATGCAAAATAACGGGTCTTAGTCAGGTTTGCAATCCTGTATCCCGATTGGCTGAAGCGATGCATAAATTAAGGAACGGGCGCAACGAGCCTGGGAGATTTCGAAGCCATGCAGAAATTTGCAGTTAAGGGGCTTCAAGTTCGCCTCTGAGTTTTAATCGGTCCTCGCTCTGTATTTCGCGGTGCAAATAGACGAAACAGGAGATACCAGGAAGTCTATCTGGTGATACGGCTCCATATTGCTCACCATAACTTGGAGAAAGTGTCTCTGAGACAGGTATAAATACTTATGGAGAAAGCAGTAGACACGTGTTGTATGAAAGGAGAGAAGGTTAGCACTCCCCTTGATAAGGATGGAAGAGGCCCTTGTGGTCTGTACAACACGCATATGGTTAAGGCAACGCCGCTTACCTCGCGGCATCTAACCATGGTTTTTTGGCCCCCCTTTTACGCCCCACTCCCAAGGGAGACCCGCTGAAATAAACCCACAGGACCAAGCCTCTGGCTTGCAACGGGGTGTGTGTGTATGGGGCAGACGGTGGCAGGAAAAGGGGACCCAATACGAGGAGTTTCGATTCCCTAAAGGAAGCCCCAGGCTTGAGTTGGCAAGAGCTGAGTAAGGCGGTGGTGGACTCGTTCGTAGGGTTGCCATGAGCTGGAGGCGACTAGGTGGCCGGGACTGTTCCAAATGAGACGAGAGAGGATAGTGCTGGAAGATGAGACTCTCAGGGCCAGACGAGAGAGAGATAGTGCTGGAAGATGTGACTCTCAGGGTGGGGAAAAGCAAGGGGCGTTTTGGAGAGCGCTCATTCAGAGGGCTGCCAAAAGCAAGGGACATTTTGGAGAGCGCTCATTCAGAGGGCTGCCGTTAATTCAGAGATGATTTCGAGGGCACTTTAACAATCAATGGAGGGTGGTGGTGGAAAAAAGTTCTCTTCGGCTGGAGGCACACTCTGGGAATGCAGCTCCTGTGATTCCCCCTATTTATTTTACACGTCAGAGATGATTTCAACGCCACTTAAACCACCAATGGAGGGGGGTGGTGGAAAAAAGTTCTCTTCGGCTTGAGGCACACTCCTGTGATTCCCCCTATTTATTTTACACATGATAACCTACCTTATTGTTATTAAAAAAAAACAGGGAGGGGGATCGTCATCATGGGTTTCCTACAGAAGTGGTGTAGGATCGTGGCTAGACCCTGTAAGCCATTTGCTAAACCCAGAACAAGGCAGTGGAAGGACAGGGCTGGAGAAGCCTGCCACCAGCCAAGGAGGCCCCAAGTTGCAGCCGGAAACCTCAGCTGGAAAGACCCTCTTTGAGCGGAAATTTGGAAAAGGGGCCAAGCACAGCAGGGCCACGCAGCCCCACTCTCCCACTTTTGAGGGTCCCTGTCCCTCCCATGCTGATTCTCTGCACCTTCTTTCAGAAATTAAAGGCATTTTACACTCCTAAACGCTCCAGGTTTTTTTAAAAAAACCCTCAAACGGTCAAGATGAGAAGCAGTTGCGCAAACCGCTTTTTGTAGGCTAAGGCAGCCTGCAAGGGGTGCCTGGGGTCAAGAGGTGACCTCCCCCAACCCCATCCGAGTCATCCACTCTTGTCTGAGAGTCTACAGAGACCCAGGCGTGGGGCAAGCACAGCTGGATGAAAGGATGGGTTCGAACCAAAAGTGCCGGTGGGCTTTTCAGTGCGCAGAAGCCCAAGGCCGAAGGCGGTCGGACCTTCCCCACCATCTGCCTCTGGATAACCTAGTTTTCCAGCTAAACCCATCGGCTCAATAATGAAAGAAACCAGCCGGGGAGGCAGGTGAGGAGCAGAAAGCCAGCCTGAACCCGAAGGCCGTGCCCTTTATTGCACCGAATGTTAAGAGGTGCGGCTCAACCTCCAGGGCAGGAATTGGGTGGGGGCTCCGTCAACCAGAAGGACCCGAGGGAGGCCTGTAGGCAAGGCCCCAGGGGCAGCCGGAATGACCCGCTCACTAGGCAACCTAGCCTATCGTGGGTTTTGGGCTCTACCTTGTTCCCTTCTCCGCAACAAAAGGCCTGAGAAGCTGGACCAAAGCCGTCTCGGAGAGACGGAGGTTGAAGCTGACGCTGCTGAGATCACAGGGCCTGGCGAGGGGCAAAGCCCCACAGATCTCTCCAGATCAGCCCACCAGGACTACAGTTATCCACATAAACTCGCATCTGTTTATTATGGCATATGGTGACCGGTTTGGATGTCTGAAGTATTGTGAATGGAAAAGGAAATAAGAACTGCACAGGAATAAGAACGCCAGAAAAGAAACAGCCATACAGTCAGCAACACAAGTTCATACAATGAAGTTTTCAAGATAAAAAAAGTTTTTTTTTTTTTACATTGAAACAACTGTACAGGTAACATGAACTTTTGTCTGGATGGGTTTCTTTTTTAAAGCCACAAGCAAAAGGACTTGGGGTTTCTTGAACGGTTACTAGAGGGGAGAAAAGCCTGTAAGAACGGTCACTTGCAGAAGCATCTAAGTGGAGTGCACGACAAAAAGGGGACGCAGGACACAGAAAAGTGAGGCGGAGGTCCTGAAGCCAGGAACGGAGGGGCCGGACAAAAAAAAAAGGGGGGGGGAAATCAGGAAACATATCCATTTGGTCGCGTTGAAAAAAAATACGTTCTGGTTTCAGTGGCGAGATGTCTCTGAGGACACAGCTCTTCCTTCGTTGGGGTCTAGAGGCGCTAGGGCCTGGCTTTCTTTCGGCCAAGAAAAACTTCTGAAAAGATTCAGGTTATTATTATTTCTAACTTTTACAACTTGCCGGTTGTGAGAGAGACCAAGTGCCCTCCAGCATTAAGGCAACCGGTATCCTCAAGAAACAGAAACTGCTGGGGCGCCAGGACAAGGGAGGGAAGGTGGGGAGAATTCCATCCACCCCTCCCAAGAAGACAACCTTTCCTGGAGGCTGAAGGTCTGAGCGTCAGGCCAGCCTCTCGCAGAAGGGCGTCAGGGCTTTTTGCCAGTGGGGCTGAAACGTTCCTTATGTGGGTTTTTACTTTTTTTTAA